TACTGAGACAGTACCACCAGGTAAACAGTTCTGAGTCTACTGGACTACCACCAGGTAAACAGTTCTGAGTCTACTGGACTACCACCAGGTAAACAGTTCTGAGTCTACTGGACTACCACCAAGTAAACAGTTCTGAGTCTACTGGACTACCACCAAGTACAGTTCTGAGTCTACTGGACTACCACCAGGTAAACAGTTCTGAGTCTACTGGACTACCATCAGGTAAACAGTTCTGAGTCTACTGGACTACCACCAAGTAAACAGTTCTGAACAGCAGCTATCAATGTAGATAGCAGATTATAAACAATTGTTAATTTTAAGCTATAATGTAGAAATATCTACATGTAAGACAAGATTATCAAAACCTGGATGAAATTATACAGCAAATTATTTTATTATGTTTGAGTGTGAATCCCAGTCACATTCATTTGTTTGGGAGTAAGTAAATACACACACAAAAAACTACTTCAATTAGGTTCAAATGGGTTGTCAATATACTGTGAAATATTGAAAACGTTGATCAAACCACAACATTTATTTATTATCCAAAAAGAATAAGTTTAACCTGTTTATCTTTTAAAAATTATCCCCCTAAAACATGTATATAACACATAGCATCATAATTACCTAAGATAGAAAAAAAACCATTAATAAACAAATTAACTTTAAAATCTGCAATGTGGTGAAATATAACATGATAAAGTTTAACAGAAATACTCTGATGTGTTTTTTTTTCTTTCTAAAAAAATCTCTTAGTAGATCATTGTTGAAATATTAAGTCTCACATTACATGTGAGCTATCATTCTTCATCTGGAAACTTATGTCATCTTCAAAAAGTATGACTTGTTTTTCATGTCATGCATATACACAATTCTCCTTTAACTAGATTAATGTTTGAACTTTTACAAAAATCCAGTAACATAACTCATGAGACAGCTGTCCCAGGCACAGCATGGAAAGGGATGCAGAGCTCTGACTATTTTAACAGTTATTTGAGAACTAAATCTGATATGATCTAGGAATAATTTCCCATATATTTTTATCATTATTATCGTACATTACAATTTCTTTCACAAAAACATCATAATCCTGACCCCTTCACCAATTTTGATGATAGATTCAAAATATTAAATAATGCTTTATGCTATTTTGATAAGACTCGTACTCACTGTTACTCTATGCTACTGTGCTTATTTCTCTAAATTTTTGATAGATGATAGGCATAGGCTGGTAGCACAAGTAGTAGAGCTAGTAGAAGTTTAGTCCATGATTACTGTCGAGTGTCAATATAAAACAGATTATCTCTGTGTGCAGTCTTAACATCAGATGTTCACATGATTTATTTTAAATTCTTATAAAACAAAACATAAGTTTTATCATAATAGATTAATCACTTATCAGAGTGAATGTCTTGATTAACACTTTATATATCTCCTTATTCACTCTGTCTTTCTACTGTAGGATTTAAAATCTTAGTTCTCGAACAAAGCTACAAAATGTCCATTGGAAGCTGAATTTCACAAGAGGAGGAAAAAAAGTGAACAAGAAGAAGAGAAAACAGTGGGTAAAGTGGTTCAAATACAAAGGCGAAGAAGATGGTAATGCAGAAAATGTGAATAATTCATTTAAATCAAATTATATTCACCCACATTCTGAAGAAACTGAAAGTAATGTGCATTTAGATTATGGTGAACATCGACAAATCAATTTATGACCCAGCAACGTGGCCATCAATGAATAGCAAAGTTAGGTGTAATATGTTATATGTCATGGGCCTGATTTAGGCAATCTATTAAAACCAGAAAATTACACATGCAAGTTTGTATATTTATTTAGTTTCATTTTAATTTAATCAAGAATAAAGTTGCCATTTATTTAGTCTGCAAATACCACATAAAGTAAAAGAGATGTACAAGTACAATTAAAACTACAGGACTGTCTTTACTTTATGATGTGTGGTTGGGGACAGTTCATCAAACTTGCCCCAGGTTAACCTGGGTTATGCAACTGGAAAAAAAAGTTTTTCTTACATTCTCACTAAAGCAGAACATTATTTATCCAAGGATTATCAATTATCATATCACTTTTCATAACATAAGGATACTTCCAATGTAGTTTGTTGGTGTTAAAAGTTAAAAATTTGATCAAAAACTTCAATAAGCACTACATGATAACTGACCTGGGGGTAATTGAGTTAAGAAGTTTCTTCGTAGATTAAGTGACCTCAAAGCCTCCAGCTCTCCAATCTGTGGTGGCAGGAATGTAATTTTGTTGCAGCCCACATCCTGAAATAGTTTGTATTAATAGATATTTAAATGAATTGGCACAAAGGGTGAAGGTATTAGAAGCTTGAGAAATTAAGATATACATGTACTGAGTCATAGGTATCTAAGCTTAGCCTTTCCATTGTGTTGTTTCTTTTTGTTTGAGTCCTACCTACTGCAGCAAAGTTCTTCTCAATCTATGGAAGTATTGATCTTTTTGAATGGAAAGGTGATTTTATTGTATTTTTCTATCATGTGTTGGTAAGAATTATTAACTTAGTAGCATACTTTGATATAATTAATAATACTGTAACGATCTTTTCGTTAACGTAGTTAGATATGAATAACTATATCTTGATTTAATCTAATCAATAGGTAAGTAAATGAAAACTAATATTCCATAAAATAATGCATGTGCAATGGAGGAAAAATTTAAAGTAGACAGACATTTAGTATTTTGTAGTTAATAATACTGCAACTATCTTTTCTTTAATACAGTTAGATTTTGTTTGTAAATGATATACATACACATACAAACATATACAGGCATCTATATTTATTTTAAGTTTTCTAATCAAAAATAAAAAATATACATCTCCATAAAATAAAGCATACAACAAGGATAGATAAAGCTAAAATAAATAAGCATCTACTCTAAATTTAGAGAATTATCTGAAAGTGTTGAAAAAGTTTGTGAGTAATAAGTTACCTGGACTCAACACGGAAGTCATAAAAATCATAAGAGTTTAGCAGCCAATACAAAACCAGGTTAAAAACCTTGGAAAAATAATTGTGAAGTGTTTTTGCTAACATTAATGGTAATCTATATAGGTTGAAAGATAAATGGACAAAGAGAAGTAAAGATTCAGAAAAACAACAACAACAAAAAAACAGTCCATTAGGATCTGTAAAACCAATCAACCAACAATGATAGCTTTTATGACATTTCAATTACCAAATTATTTATGTGAAGGCTGCTAAGTCCTGGTAGCTCAGTTATTAAGAACATCAATCTCAGAGCACTAATTTGAGCTGGAGGTCTTGGATTCAAACCCCATTCAGAATAGATTACTTTTAACTTCTTTCAGAAATGTGTACATATTTTTTTTAAACAACACACGTTTTTTTTTTTATTCACTTTCAATACAATTGGAGAAAGGGATACCTAAAGGATATTTATTTATTTATGTTCCATTATAAGTATAAACATTAATTAAGCATTGCATGAGATTCATGATAGGTTTTTTACATTCATAAAGTGAGTGAAACTTAAGTATGAAATATGTTACATGTGATCCTTTTGGGATTGCTCCTTTGAGCTAGGTGCCGAAAAGAATTATTTGCAACATTCAAGGCTTTGATGAAAGATTATGAAGAGTAAGCTTATGTCAATGGATGGGATGATTAAGCTTGTAGGATAATTGTCATGGTAATGGTGCATTACATTCTAGTGATGGGCTACACTTAAGCGGGCTAGATAGCAAGATGTTTGTGGAGCCTCCAAATCAATTTATTAAACACAGTTTAAACTAACCTTGGATAGTGGTAAGGGGGTTCAGGAAATTGGGAATAAACAAATTAATAGGATAGCTTGGGCAACAAAGACTTAGAGCATAACAACTTAAATAATACTCTTAACTTTGTTAATGCAAATTTGAGTTTATAACGAGACATTTTTTAAATATAACTAAAATAAGAACCTCTATTTCCAGAATGTAACTTTATTAGCTCAATATTTCGCTATCACAGCTTCGTTAGGAGCTATAAATTTGAACTGGTAAGAAATCGACAAAGCAATAGCAAAATATTGAGCTAATAACGTTACATTCTGGAGATATAGGTCCTTATTTTATTTAAGTTAAATAATAGTTTTATAGATAAGTCATTCATATTTAAAGACAAGCTTAATTGTTAACATTCTAATTTTAAGAGTTTCGGAAACAACCAGGATGAGCTCAGGGCTCAAAAAGAAATTGAAGACTATGATATAATAAGAATTACTTTGGTGAACACTGGTAATTAGTAATCATTTTAAAATATCAGGTTATAAGACACTTAATAGTGACAGACTTTTTTAAAATAGGAAGGGGTGGGTCTTTATATAAAAGATGAGCTAGATCTTATGGAAAATTAAAACACAAAATGGCAGTCAAGAGGATGAATTCATGTGAATTACAATCAGGGGTTACAGGGGCAGGAAGTTTTAACTTGGCAATTGTTATAGGCTTACTGATCAAATAGATGAAATCGATCAGAAACTGCATAATAAAATTAGTGTTGTTACTTATAGGAATACTGATGCAATAATTATCAAAAACACATAAATTTTAAGCACATTGATTGGGGCTGTATGAGTTGAGAAGTAACGGAAGAGGTTTCTTGAATTGATTCAGGATGGTTTTCTATACCAAATGGTCACAAAGCCAACAAAGAGGATGCAATTTGAGATTTATTGTTAGCCACTTATCCCTTGATGGTGAAAAAAAAGACGAGAGATAAATAAATATAACACGAGGACTAGACAGTGCTTTTCCAGTGTTTTAAAAGAAGTCAGACATTTCTGGTAGGTTAAAAAGATGTGTAAAATCACCTAGTGAAATGTGATATTATAAAATCAACATGGATTCACTAAAGAAAAATCTTCCCTTACAAATCTGGTAACTTTGAGGATATTACATGTTATCTGGATGATGGAAAAGGTGTTGAAATGGTTTATTTCAGCACTTTAATTGAGGAGAAATGTAAGGGAATGCCATTCCTCTTGTTAACATAAAGAAAAAAACTGAAACCAAAAATGCCTGATTGTGAGAACATGCATATGTGAGTTTCACTTGTTAACCTTTTACTACCTGAGTGCTGGTTTACTTAGATTTAAAAAAAGTTTCAGATAAGGTGCCACTCAAAAGACTAGTTAAGAAAATTACATCAAAGAGGATTGGGGAAAGACTAGTAAACTGGATTTTAAGATAGTTGGATGAAAGAAAGCAAAAAGTTGTTACCAATAAAGTACAGTGAAATCACATGAACCTTTGTTACTTGTGGAGTGCCTCTGGGGATGCAAATGAAGAAAAGTATCTTGTCACAGTAGTTGATAAGTCACTCATGCTATTGAAACAGTGCTCTGTTTAAGTAGTAAAGCTATAGGATTGTAGGTTGCATTTATAGACATACTGATTCCAAGTCAAAATAGGTAATCGTGTCTTTATACAAATCACTATTTAGGCCTCACTTGGAATACTGTCACAGATTTGGTCTATTAATTTACAGAAAAGGATACAGGGGAAGGCTACAGAGATGAAAAGAATATCTTGTGATAATAAGTTGAAGTCATTAAACTTGTTTATAAGAAAATAAAGATAATAGATGACCTTATTCAAGTTTACAATATTTTCTGGAAGATCAATAGGATGAAAGCCTCCAACTTCTTTGTGCTATATTTATTTTGAATACAAAAGAACAAGATCAACACGAGTTTAAGATTTAGAAAAGACAAGCTGCCTCTAGTAAAAGGTGATCGGCTTATAAAATTAGTTGCCATGCAATCAGCTATAGTAGAGGCCAGCACTTTACAAGTTCTATAGTAAAATTGATAATTTCCTGAAAAATTAGAATGGGTTTACAAATTAAATTTTACTCAAAGGTAGATTTTCATGGTTGGTCTTGAAGGACAAATTGGTCCCTTGTGTTCATTATTTTATATTAATACAGCAATAAGTTAATTTGATACTTACAATGTACTATACCTTCATAAAATGAATGACTGAAAATATGAAAGGTATAAACTGAATACAGTGATAAGTTGATCTTGGAAATAAGGAAAAGGCAACTGAAGTTGTATGATATAGGATTAAAAAGCTACTCATACATCTGTATGTGTATGATAATGAATCAAACCATTCTCATGGACTAACAGAAGTGATAAAGATTGGTTGAAATCAGCAGAGGACATTTGATAATGGAATAATTACCAAATTCATTAAATTTGCAGATGATCTCAAATTAATGGCATTCCAAGTCGCATTAAGTATGCTGAAGTTTTGCATAAATATTTTGACTATTTGATAAGCTGGGCATTTGGTAGATATATTTTAATCTGAAAAAAAATACTCATGGATATTAGTTATCACAACATTAAGTATTCTTACAGCCTCATAGGAGAAATTCTAAGTGAAGCTGATGAGAATAAAAGATAATGGCACTGCTGTTACAAAGTTTCTATAGCCTTCTAGATAATGTACATTATCTAATAATAATTAAGACAATTTTTAAGGTATTGTAGATTGTACACGTGGATATCAATTCATTCTTTCAAGTGCTGTTTAGACCACATTTGGAATGTGGTATTCACTTTTAGTTACCTTATTTAGGAAGGCATTTTGTGATGTTCTAGAAGTTTCAAAGAAAACCTACAAGAATGATTCCAGGTTTGGAGGGGTTATCATAAGGGGCTGGGATGAAATATTTTAATATGTTTTCACAGAAAAGGAGAAGAGCTGATGAAGAAATGTTAAGGTTTTTAAGATTGTTATAAGTTGGAATTATAACAGTTGACTCAATTTGTAAGAGCATTGGCATCAGAGCATTGTATTTTAATTAAGTGTCCAAAGTTCTAAGTCCCTGTAAGGACACATATTTATTAACATTATACATAAAATGTTAAAAACTGAGTTTTTATTGTGTTGGATTTTTTGTGCTAACCTAAGCAATTGTTGCAGTAATATCATTAAAAAATGTACATATTGTTGACTGTTGATCAATGAATTTCCATTTGTTAATTCACTTGGCACAGTACAATGTAATGAAATAATTGTAGATTTTTCAAAACAAAACAAATGATTTTTTCCTAGCTCAATTTCATTTTGTATAAGTGATATCTTATAATTTTATTTCTCTACTTATTTAAGTGTTCTATCTTCTATTATTTGTCAAAACTACATAATCTTCTGCTGAGTCTCTTCTGTTTACAGCAATAAGCCTGTTTTGGGGTAGAAAATGTTTAAAGGCATGGTCTTATTCTATCACTTCATTCTTATTGTGAATTAAGGAAGAACCCTTGTTAGCTAATTCTTTCAGATTTTTTCTTAATAGAAATTCAAATGTTTTTTGAGCAAGAATATGCTCAGAGCTCAGTGTTGTATATTTCTTAAATAGTGGTTTTATTATGATACAAGGCTTTATTTATATATGGTACAACTATTACATTTGTTGGTGCAATATTTTTTATCCATGCATATGTGCATTTATACTGATAAATTATAAATCTGTGTAACATTATAGAAACTTACAATCAAAATAAGAGATTCCAAGCCAATACATACTACCATTCACAAGATATACAATATATTTAATACCTTTAGCTATCATACTTTGATATAATTAATTAAAGGCTACATGTATATGCAAACGTTAAATCGTGAAAAATTATAATCAACATTTGCTTTCTTTCAACTCCCTTAAATTAGCAAAAGTTTAAGCACTTTCTACACACCAAATCCATAAGCTGATTCATGATGCCAATCTCCTTTGGAAGAGTAACTAGTTTGTTGTTGTTGATAATAAGTACTTGAAGAGGGAGCTGACATAATGCTGGTGGAATGATGCATAGCTGATTTCGGCTGGAAATAATTGAGACACTAAACTCACACAACTTAAGTATTATAGGTTTCTGAAGTTTTACACCTAGCATGCTTAAGAAAAAAAACTTTTCTTAATAGAAATATTTTCTACTATTACTACAGTCACAATCTTTAACACCCTGATGAACTAGTCTTTAAGAGGCAAAATTATATATATAATATTGAATTGTACAGGCTTTGTCTTACTCTTGGACAATTTTCATATTTCCATTGTTATATTGAATGCATGCAATACTTAAGAATAAAATCATTTTTGAGAAAATCAAGATATATAAATATTTCCGATATAAAAAACTACATTATATTATATAGTACATACACGAATAAAAGTTTTACAGTATTAGTTACAAAAGGGTAAGATTATTCATATCAATAATTAAAATTGAAAAACATTTCATATGTATATAATTGTATCTGTAAAGTGCAAGTGTAATGACAGTAAGGAACATAAATTACATAAAAACAGTCAATGTTAAATTGATGCATTATTTACAGAAAGTTAGCACGTTATAGATCATATAGTTTTTGATCAAGGAATCATTCAAACTTTAATTAAGATTAGGGAGAAACAAAATAACAAGCCAGTCATAATTATAATATACAGCTTAAATTTAAAAAAAAAAGTCCAGAACTAGTTAAGATAGCCTTTGTTGTTATCTACAGTCAACTAATCACTGGCTCTGTTTTATGGATAATATTAATAGAATATTGTTTGGTTTATTGTTTACTGTTACGAACAAAGCTGTAAAAAAGACTCTCTGTGCATCCTCTGCTAAGCAGTGGTGTTAAAATCCGATTTCCAGCGCCATAAGCCTGAAACTTGCCGCTGAGCCACCCGGGGAGGAAAGGGGCAATATAAGAAAAAATATATTAATAGAAATTAAATGGAAAAATTATTTCAGAATATTGAAGTTTGTTAAAAGTTATGGTGTTTTAATATATTCATTTATAGAATTAAGGACAAAACAACAAAGATGAATTGTAAGTTTCACAAATAATTCATTTATTAACGACCATGGTTTTTGCCAGTAAAGGCATCATGATGATGCTAAAATAATAAATGAAGAAGCCTGACATAGCCATGTGGTTAGGGCGCTCGACTCACAATCGGCGGGTCGTGGGATCGAATCCCTGTCTAACCAAACATGCTTGCCATTTCAGCCGTGGGGGCGTTATAATGTGACGGTAAATCCACTTTTCATAAGTAAAAGAGTAGCCCAAGAGTTGGAGGTTGGTGGTGATGACTAGCTGCCTTCCCTCTAGTTTTTCACTGCTGAATTAGGGACGACTACCTGAAGATGGGATGGGCGCGCTACCAGGTAAATCTGACCGAGAATCACCGATAATGAACCAGCATCTAAGGTGCCCCAACAATCGTAGACGACCACGGGACTCATAAAAAAAGACAGACTTACAACTTTTGTCCATTAATAAAATAAATAAAATATAGACTCGCACTGTTATCTTACATTCGACTAATGCCATCGGCTATCTTTTTCACGATTTATACCTTATTCCCAGGACCTTCGTCTTCTAAGTGAAGAGAATGACTTTATAACACTATCAGTATGAAAAACTTCTTTACCGCCCGTTTTCTCCATAATTCATTATCTGAATAACTGATAATAGTTAAAACCGTGCCACACAGAGAATGACTCTATTTTTCTGAGAGAAACCGTTTATATAATTTTCTTTTCATCTTTCGTGTAATTCCTTATCTCCCCTAAAATATCGAAGGTCGTATTTGGTAATTTCCAAATCATTCAAAGTAATCCTTATTTGCATAAGACATTTACCAACAAGTCCGTTGTTGAATATGAACGTAGCACCAGATTTGTGACACTCTTATCAGATTGAATTTAGAAGTATTGTAGAATAAGTAACCTTCTAGAAACATGAGTTCCAGACCGACAAACTTTATAAGATCCAAGTTTCTAAAAAAAAAGCTGATTTTTATATTAATAACTCAATGGAAGCAAACACTTCTTAAACATACCTTAAGTTGAGGAAGGTCAGTGATTTTAGAGTAACGACAGAGTCAGGGAAGCAGCGTATCACATTATGGTAACAGTTCAACTCCGCGAGAAGGAAAAAATCGCAGATTTCTCTTGGAAGTTCGGTAAACTTGTTTTTCGATAAATCTGAAACCAAAGAAATATTTCAAAAACTTCTTAACCTTTGCTCTTGCTTAAGAATTGCAAATATCTAATTAGCATAAATTTGTTAAATTCATATTATATTTACATGTATCACGATAGTCAGTAATGAATCCTCAACATTTAATTGAAAACTCCACTTATCTTAGATCTGCATATACAAAGAATAAACATGAAAGTTATTTGGACACACCTTGGATTCGAGACAATAAATATTTTGAAAATTCTAATAAAAGTTGCTAAAAAGAGAACTAATAACAACACAAAATTCCAGATATTTATCACAAAAAACGATAACTCAAGGTTAAAAATATATTGATACAGAGCTGCTTAGTACTTCCTTTCCAATTCCCCAACATCATAGATTCTGTGCTTTTTGTATGAATATGTATGAAATAAATAACAAATCTTATTAAAACTAATAAGGGAACATAATTACAAAATCATTACACAAATAAAATTAAGAACCAAGTAAAAATTTAAACCATGATGTTACTCTCGAGCTCGAGTTCCTATCTTTATATATTTTAGCCCCCCCTCCCCAGTGGTACAGCGGTATGTCTGTGGACTTACAACGCTAGAAACCGGGTCTCGATACCCGCGGTGGCCAGAGCACAGATGTCCATTGTGTAGCTTTGTGCATAACGACAAACAAACAAACAAACTTATATATTTTATTATAGCAAAATATTTAAAAGCCCAAGTATATATAATACTCATTATGTATCAGTAATATGAATAGACCTCGCCATCTAAACCCATATTTGAGATACATAAACACGTTTTTTTCGTGAGAACTATTTTATGCATGGTATCTAAAAATAGAAAAAAAAGTCAAAAGGATTCAGTACTACTGTCTTATGCTACATACACAAACTACAGAAGATTAACCACCTTTTGTTTTTGAAAGATTTGTATATTATACAGTATATAGTAATTTACTGGCCACAGACGACATGTTTACACCTGTATAGTTAATGGCAAATTTCCAATAATGTGAAAATACAATACCGTAGTGGATATATTTGTGGTCGGACGAACGTTAAAAGCCTTTTCAGTGAGACTGTTAAATGAAAGAGATCAGATTTTTAATTAATGAACCCTTGAGTGTCTTTCAGTAGAAATAGAAAAACGTGCACAAGAGACCGTTTTGGACAGGAATATGACCGAAGCCACATTTCAACCGATAACATCTTCATCTACACACTGAAGACTATGTTACCAAAGAAACCATTGCAATGAGGATGCTACCATTAAAACATAATAACCAACGGTTTGAAGTTGACAAAGTCTCACGAGCTTTCAGCCACACTTCGAAATCAATGGTTATTTTCACGAGAAAGAGAACCGACGAAAGTGCAGTCACACAGTGTCTTATTTTACCATTTACCTGTATCATTTTGATCATACAATGTCTTATTTTACCAACTACCTGTATACAGCTCCAATGGATGTTTGTGCCTTCGATCTTGCTTATAATGACTTTAGAAGCCAACATTGGAGATTCTGTAGAATGTTTGTTTACCTGTATACAGTTCCAATGGAAGTCTGTGCCTTCGATCTTATTTATAATGATCTTGGAAGCCAACATTGGAAGTTCTGTAGAATGTTTGTTTACCTGTATACAGCTCCAAATGGAAGTCTGTGCCTTCGATCTTACTTATAATGATCTTGGAAGCCAACATTGGAAGTTCTGTAGAATGTTTGTTTACCTGTATACAGCTCCAATGGAAGTTTGTGCATCCGATCTCACTTATAATGATCTTGGAAGCCAACATTGGAAGTTCTGTAGAATGTTTGTTTACCTGTATACAGCTCCAATGGAAGTCTGTGCATCCGATCTCACTTATAATGATCTTGGAAGCCAACATTGGAAGTTCTGTAGAATGTTTGTTTACCTGTATACAGCTCCAATGGAAGTCTGTGCATCCGATCTCACTT